TTGTAATAGAACAAAATACCCAGCAAACACCAATTAATAGTACATAATGACATCAATATTATAATTTCACGTTTAACAATCCCGTCCAGGACAAATCATTCCAGCAATATTGTAACAATATTGTAAACGTTACAGTAATGTTGCTGCAAGCTTTCGTATTGTGTGGGATGTAACTGTTATGTACAACACGTGTTATTATTACATTTAGGTCGCGGTCCAATTCACGCTAACATCCCTTAAGAATCATTTCAGCCTTGTTGTTTATGAAATGTTAAACAAGGGCAAATGATGCTCACGAGCATTGTGAACTTGAATCAGTTGTTATATTGCGTGTGAAATTATAACGTTGATGTTACGTTACTGTTCGTTGGTGTTTACTGAGTAGGCGTAGATTGGTGTTTGCTGAGTAGGCAATTTGAACTTGCTCACTAAAAAAAATTTCTGGTTGAAAATGGATAAATCAGAATTTTCTGATTAAATTTATTAGAATTCTGGTTGAGATAATCGGAATTCTAATTGATATAATATTTCTGGTAAAATCTACTTCTTATTTTTACCAGAATAATTATATCAAACAAAATTCTATAGTTATCCGAAATAGAATTCTAGTAGATTTAACCAGAAAATGCTGATTCGTCCGTTTACCACCAGAATTACTATTTAATCTAATCAGACCATTTTTCTCAGTGCTTCACTAGATCAAGCAGTTAATAGATCACTATATAGATCATGGATGCATTCACAAAAATGAAGTACTCGATAGAGTTAACGGATAGCGCGATGCAATTGATATGAATTTATTCAGCGATATGAATGCCAACGAGTTTGGATTACGTAAGCTTTCGATATTGACACGGCGCATTTACTGGCACACCGGGGTTGTTTACACAAAGCAAAGAGCAGAAAGCTCGAGAGCCGAGACGAGATGGTGGTCTCGAGGAAAACAGGCTTTTATGCGAACGATCCTTCGAGCGCTGCACTTAAGATAAATGACGAATAAAACGCGAATGAGACTGAATCTCTCCAATCGTTGAATCCAATTTGGATCTAATTATCTCGCTCCTTCTTCTTTTTCTTCCTGCTCCATTATATAATGTAACGAACGGGTTTTGCGCGTCCCATTAATAATTAATGTTGTAGGTGCTTTCCAAATAAAAGATAAATGAGTCATTTGAAATGACACACATGGAAAGAATGCTAAAGTATCTAAATATTTAGCTAGATATTAAGCTATACTGAAAAAAATGTTTGGTTGAATTAATTGGAATTCTGATTGAAAATAGCCGAATCAGAATTTTCTAGTTAAATCTATTAAATTCTAGTTGAGATAATCGGAATTCCAATTGATATAATCAAAATCTTCCATAATTCGCCCATTTTCAAATCAGATATTTTTTTCAGTGTAAAAATAATTTTGTTGGATCATAAAAATAATTATGTATACTGCAGGAATCTCAAGCATGATGAGCAATGTTGAAAAAAATGTTTACATTCTAGCAATCAATTTGAGCATTTTACATAATTATTTGGTTCAATTAAATTATTTTTAAATTTGTATCTAGCTAAATTTTTAGATACTTGAGTAAAACTATCCTTTCCAGTAAATTCATCAAACAAGGATGAATAATATTGACAAGCAACAAGGATGTAACAATTCACTGTATTTAGAATCATCAACCCTACTCTTTTGAGGTCGTAAAATTGATTATTACATTGATTAATTACACACAATTTTATATTTATAAAATTATATTAATACAAGTTATCAATAAAAAATGATTTAGAAATTTCATTTCATTAAATATTTACATTTAATGTATAAAATTATACTTCCTTCTTCCGTTCCCGGATCGTTATTAATTTTTTTTTTAAATGTACATATGTACCCTATTCTTGTGATTCAGATAACCCTGTATTGCACCATGTCATTTGTATCTCTCGTTGAAAAACAGAGCCACTATCTACTCGTCCGCCGGTGGCGTAATACTTTCCCTTACATTACAAGAAGTTACGACTGACCCCATAAAATTTCTAATTGCGCGACTTGCGTCGTTCAGTCAATCGTTAAACACCGCGAGGAAGGAAAAAACCCCGCGGTAGATCTCATTTCGCGCGATAGTCCGAAATTTACGGCGGATTCGCACATCGTCAGACTTCTCTAAAAGTCTTCCTTGGATCGGCGAAGGTCTGTGAAAAATGCGCCGAGGACGGCGCGTGTTATCGACAGGTCCACTTTAATTAGGGCGAACGGGGAAAGAGGGTGAAGTGGGGGCTGAAAGGGGTGGAGGGATACCAGGGTGAATCCTCTCGTACTGACCTTCTTAACTTGAAAGTGCTCCGGCTTAAGATTCTCGATGATTTCCTGGTCGGGTTTGGTGGGCTGCGGGACCGACGACCGGAACCCGTCGAGTACACCCTTGATCGTGAACTTCTTCATCGCGTCTGCCAAATGGGGTCGACCACTCAGGGGGGATCACATGTGCAATCGCCGCCGTCTGTCTACGAAATCACGGCCAGGAATTCGAAGATCTGGCTCGCCGTGGCTCCTCTCTCTCTCTCTTTCTTTGCTCCGGGCTCATTCGCGGAAATCCAATGACATGTTTTCGCTCTTTCTCTCTCTTTCGCGGGCGCAATCAACTTCTCGACGTTGAAAGCACTGCTGCTGCTACTGCTGCTGCTGCCGCCGCCGTCGTCGATGTTGATCCTCTCTACATTTTGACAGTACGTGTCAGCAGACGTGTCAGTGGAGCCGCTCCGCTCCGCTCCGCTTCACTCGGCGCCGTACCGCTCCGCTCCGCGCCGCGCCGCGTCGCGCTGTGTCACAGAGACACAGACGGGATGCCGCGATCGTGTGTCGTCCGTTTTCTCTCGCGTCGCGCACCAGCGGTTTGCTCCGAGAGTACGGTGATAGAATCGTTAAACACTTTGGGAGGAACGACGACCGTCGGTCGAACCTCACGACCGTCCCCGACGCTTTTACGCCGTACGCTGGAACGCAGGCCGAGCGCAGGCCGAGACGTGGCGAAGCTCTGTGTTTTCGTAGTTGACAGCAATGCGGTGTTGTTTAATCGCGCCAGGATCAATAACTGGCAACAGGCTCATGTGGAGTTTCGCACGGCCGCGAGCGCCGTGCTGCGCGGGCGCGATGCGCGCCACGGCTCGCCGCGCAATCGCGAGCGGCGAGCGCTCGCGATTGGCCGAATTCGCGCAATGACGTGCGACGCGTCCGGGGTCATGGGCGCTTACGAGCGCTTACGAGCGCTTACGGGCGCTTACGGGCGCTTACGGGCGCCCTGGGGGCACAGCTCATTCCAGACTGTTCAAGATTATATACGCTATCCTCCGGCTTCTCGTCTAAAGGTCCGCTTTTTATTGCTACTTTCTGAACTAGTACACACAGTGTAATAAATTGAAATGAAACAAATACGTTTATTTTACTTTAACTTTGATTGCACCGGTTCAGAGTGCAGCAATAAAAAACAGACTTTAAGTATTCGCATCTCGTGGCTGTTGGCTAAGAAAAAAAGGATACGACTTTTTCAGGGATTGTTTTATTTTTTCATTTTCTTATATATTTTTCTTCACAGAAATACAAATTATCATAATAATGACGCTACACTCAAGAAAAAATTGGATGTGAAATAAAGTTAATTAAATCTTTATACAATTCACATATCGTTACGAAATCGTTGTCAGTTATGCTTAAAATTGAATCATTTAAAAATTAATTCAATTGAATCAACAATTATTCTGATGAGTTGAAATCTTTATATTTAGATCTGTTCCTAATATTTCTTTTATTGTATGCAGCCTTTAACTTTAATTTTTATCCCTAATTTTTTTATTTCTTCAATATTTTATATTTATTCTTGTTCCTAATATTTCCTCCATTGTGCGCAAAGTCCCTTAAATTAAGCCACTTCGACTAACTCCGATTAATTTTAATTGACGATTAGTCCATTGAAATTGACAATCGCATTTGTCATTTCGCTTAACGACTGCAGCTGCAATTGGTCAATTCCAATGGATTAACCGTCGGTTAAAGTTAATCGAAATTGCTGTTATTATTATTATTATTTAACTATCATTTATTATTAGATATTATTATTCAAACATTAACATGTCGAATGTCACGTTAGAAAGCGTCACTTTCATTTATAATATTTTAATTGAGACACCATCACTGTTTTTCGAATGATCAACAGTCATGATCACATGTGAATATTTAAATTAGAGAAAATAAGCGCCCAGGATGTGCTTTGATGCGTAGCAAGTTCACATTGTAAATCAACCTTAAGGCTGCTTTGAACTTTTTCGGAGATATACTTTTGTGAAGTATAGTATAACATTTAATAGAAATAATAATTATTCGACTTGTTTATAATATTATGATAACAATAATTTCAATCAAACAATCAATTCGAGCAGCAAAATTATCTATAGCGACATTTTTAGCTATATATAATCCGCTGTCCATTATAATTTTTAATCTTCTTTATCATATTGTTTTCTTACTTTAAAAGTGATACAATTAAAAAAATTAAATTTTCCAGAAAAGAGGAAAAATTATTTTTGACCTAGAACAGAAAATTTTATTTACTGATTAAATATAATATTAACAAAAAGAATATATTCCTAACAGATCAAACTTTATTTTTTGTTTCACAATTCTTAAAAAATCACCCCCTAAGTAGTACACAAATATCATCAAAATCGTTATAGTTAAAAAAGGCTCCTTTTAACTGTAATGATTTGATGATTTTTTTAAAGCTCCTTTTCGAGTTGTAACACTTTTAAAGATACAATATATCGAAGCAAAAATTAATAATTTTATCCTCTTTAAAGTATTATTTATTAATAATTATTAGTTGTGTGCTTTAACATACGATAATTATTTTAGAACGTCTTCCTTTGATTCAATTTCTAATAACGCATCTTTACCAGATGTTTGTCGGCCAATCAACGCGTCGCACGCGTGCGATTGTTGCACATGTGAGTGCACCTTGAGGGATTGGCACCAATTGACACATTTGGTACGGGAAGGATAAATCAGGGGATAAACCGTGAGGATCGCGAGAGCGTGAATAAAGTCAGTCCACGGATTACTTTTCGCGGCCGAAAGAAAGATCCGAGTTGTCGAGAGAGAAGGTTCTCCGCGATCTGTAAGAGCGGGATTCAAACATCGTACCAGGTCCAGGTCCAGGTTAGCCCTTAAATTCGTGGTGTATTTCCTCTACCACGCGTTCTACCGTTTTCCCCTTGTGTGAGAATTCTAGTTTGACACTTTCTGACTTGTCTCTCACGCATACAGCTGTTATGGACATGGTGATGTCAAATTTGCAACAGCAACGCCAAGTGACAGAGCAGCTGCGCCGCGAGGCCGCCTTGAAGCGGATCACGGTGAGCAAAGCCGTCGAAGACATCATGAAGTACATCACCGAGCACGAGCAGGAAGACTGCTTGCTGGTGGGCTTCTCATCACAGAAGTCGAATCCCTTTCGTGAGAAAAGCACCTGTGTCGTACTTTAAGCCTGCGTGCTTGAAGTAAAGGATGGCACAGGAGAGACTAATAATAATATCACTTTTGCATCTTTTTAATTGCGCATTGATTCGTTGCAGCAATAAGTATACATATATTCAAGATTGTAGAATCCAAGTAATTTTCTATTTAAATTATTTTATGATACATATTTATATAAGATTGTTGAAAGTGTACAAAAATTCGAATTTTCTACCTTAACATTTGCCATTAGAAATGCACATTTTGCATAGAGTTTATAAGATCTTTTCAAAACATAGTTAAACAATTCTGTGTGTTATACAGGAATTTGCACGTGCCTTACCCTTTTGTGGCCTAATCAAAATGACTAACTATAGCAGATATATTTAAAATAGAACATAATAAAACAATGTATTTTGATATACATATATAAATGGAAATATTGTTAAACATTCATATGCATTTAAATTGTCAGAATATTACCATCTTGGTGCCTTAATAATTTTATCTTCCTATATTTATAATAGTATTATTCTAATAAAATGTATTAAAAACAACAATGGATAACAGAACGTTCTATATTGCTAAATAAAACTGACAGGTTTATATTTATGTAAATTTTATGATGTTACATTGTGCATTAATTGGAATCGGTTCCTAAATACCTATATCCATTTCAAGACTGACAGCAATGAAATTATATAACAAATTGAAATATTCTAAAGAAGCAAGATTTTAATATACAATTTCACAGGTATATACATATATAAGTGCATATTTTTATGAAATAAAATGTTGCATTTAAAAACAAACAGTATTTTTATCTTTTATATAGTAAGATTCTATCTATTTTTTAAAGGTCATTATTATACAAGTAACTTTCAAGAAAATGCGAAACAAAATTTCTATATATCATTAAAAATATTTTCGTCGTGTAACATAATATTCCGCATGCGTAATCACACACATTTTAAAAAGCATGTATCTTACTTTTTTTTAGCCTTTTTTGCTTTTGGACCATTATTGACAAATAGTAAATCAGGATACATATTATAAAATTCAGATATTAAATCATTTGTTTTCTGTTTAGCCATTAAATCTGAAAAAAAGTTGGCATTAATCTATAATTTGATATAAATTTATTTTTTCTATCCAAATAATGAAAGCTTTTACTCTGTGTACACTCCAGGTCAAAAGTTCGAAGATACTTTTTATCCTCTTGAATTTTTGAATTGACATTATTTACTCAAATACTCATAACAATATATTTTTTCACAGTAATTTTTTACTAAATTTTTTAGAAACAAAACTAATACAACTGTTAAAATACTTCTCTAAAGAATTATTGTTTTAAAAAACATTGTTATGGATACTTGAATAAGTAATCCCAAATGTCAGTTTTTAAAGTGTTTCCAAACTTCGCCTGAAATATATATCTTTTTTATTTATTATCCCAATAGATATTACTTACATGATTTCTCGATGGAATCAATCGGTGGAGGACCAGGTTCTTTGTCCAGAGCTAACTTCTCCACTATTTGTATCTGACACTCCAATTTATAAGATCTGAAATTATACGGATGGTAGTTCATATCGAGTCGGTCGATCGTTTTTTTCCACAGCGCAACTTCCTTGTCAGATACAGAATCCTGCGCTTCATAATGTAGCAACGCTTCGCTCTTGTCTCCTATGTCCCCTAATATAAAATTAAGCTCATCAAGTAAAGAATATCTTGAGTCTCTCTCTGATGATATTATGTAAAATATAATTAGACATACCCTGAAATGCGACTTTCGATAGATAAAAGCCACCCAATTCAGCATTCGGAATCATGTAGCAAAGATTAGTTTGTGTATTCAACCGCATTGTGAATGCGCACACTATCATTTTACTTTTAGTTGCACATTTATTTAATAAAGCGCTGAAGAACAATAGATTGTCTGCAAAAAGAAACAATGATCACATTTGACATTACTTTTAAGGCTAATCTACAATGTGCTCTTTACTTCCTGTTTCTTACTTTTTACCTCTTGCCTTCATATTTATTTTATTTCTTCGTTTTCTCTTATACGAGATAAAAGTTTCGGAAGAGACACGATTATCAATAAAATAGTCACAAAAAGAGAAAAAGGCAATAAATAAAAGCAAAGAGCATGTTAGAGCATATATAGATTAGCCTTTACATAGTAATTAAATATTGCGATATCACAAATAGTGTTATCACGTTTCGTGTATATCTCTGTGTAATTTGATGGTACACAATAAATTAAACGTCGCGCATTAATTTTTTTATTGTGCATTATATATATATGCGTTACCTTTACGAGTACTACCATAATCCGCTCTAACAAAGTACTTCCGTTTAACATGATATCTGAAAAGGTCACTGGGTATAGGTCTTATACCAATTATCTTGATGGCTGGTGGATATAAATGCTTTATCCGTAAGAGTTCCTTTCGCGTGAAACGCAGCTTCTTGTCACCGACCAATTCCTTAGTTTCCAAGTTAACTTCCTCTGGTATCATAAAAGGTAAATCAGATTCCTCATTGTCACTGTCTTCCTAAATTAAACAAATCGGGTATAAGAAATAAATTCAAGACATTTTACATGCAATTTAACTCTAATTGGAACTCGTGTTCACGGGTCCACGGTATATTTTAATTTTTAAATTAATATATCTTCGCTCAAAGTTGACATAATTGAACTTTTTTGTCATTTTGAAGATCAAGATCCGAGAAATAAGATTATGTAACTTGAAATTATATAAGATTGTGAAAAATATTTCTTAGAAACAATTTTTTACAATATAATTGAAGAAAATACAGGTCAATTGGGCTGACGAAAAAGACCGATTAAGATTAAGCAAACTTTTACGTTACGTTAAGCGAGAGATATACACCTCATCAATGGAAAAATTTTCCTTGAAATAGGTTGATCTGGACAAAACTTGATTAGTCGCTTTGCTTAATGGCTTCGTTTGCAAACATCTACGTTTTCTGTAAAATAATAGTGCGTTTTTGCTTGTACAAAATTTAATTATAATATTACAAAATTAATATTATTCTTGCACAAAGACCTACCTGCCTAAAGTACGCACCGCTAAATCAATCTCCACACCATCGCATATCTGACAGGATAAACTTGCAATATTTTTGGATGGTGCTTTAATCTGTTGTACCAAGTCAACAAGTGATGTCCTTTTATAAACGCCTATGTTCATCTTTCTCGACAGCATTTCTAAATCTTTATAGAACTCATCGAGCGGCCAATTATTTCTCAAATCGATCACGTGTAGATTAATGTCCAACTCCGTCAAAGATTTCGCCTTTGCTCTGATGCGATGTTTTTCATCGTCTGAATAGTCGGGGTTATAACAAGTGATCAGAACTACCCTACGTTTAGTGAGGACTGTTTTTATTTTCAAGAAGATATCCGTGGCATATGTCAATGCATCGAGAAGCAGAGCATTATTTTTTAATTTCATACTCTCATAACCCTTCATGCCACTTTTAGCTGTAAAAATCAGGAAAAAACCAATTAATGAAAGTTGTGGCTTACATTCTTGGTGCTACATTCAGTATCGATTGTAATTATACTTGCTTAGTTTTCTAATCTGTTGTAAATTATCCATAGTAACAACTCTGAGTTCTTGCAAAGTCTGAATGTTTGCCCATGGTGAATTTGAGTCGCTCTTTTCTGTACCAAATAGCACCACACCCATCCAATCTTGCATACTCCATGCTAGCTTTTGCCGAAGAATTTGTTTGTATAGCTGAAAAGATAATGAATGACAAGTTATATATAACTCTTTAACCAACAAGTCTCATTCTTTTTTATCTGAACTTTTTTGTACACATTCAACTTTTCTTTTTTTTTTCTTTCTAATATGAGAAGAAACAGAGGAATGATAAACCATGCAAAAAGTTCATTTAAAAGGAATGAGTCTCAAATTAACATGCAATGTTATAACCAACCTTGAAAAACTTTTCGATGTAAGTGATTTTTTTGTCATCAATATCAGATGAATACATAAACATTTTCTCTGTACAATCAACGAGAAATAATGTGGCTTCTCGTACTCCGTAAAACTGACTCGCTTGCGAATCTACTTCCCCATCTTGTGACATTTCTGTTATCAACATATAATTTATTATTGTTATTTTGCAGTTAAATAATATATCGAAGAACACATATGAACATTTTGAAGTTGTCCAAACGATGCTAGAATTTCGAAGATGTTTTATGATTATGAAAAAAAATAGGTCTAAACATATAGATTATTTTAAATAAGATACTGCTGTAAATTTGTACAATAAATACATACACTACCAGCATTTTAGATTTACAATTAATTGGAAAATATAATAAAGTATTACTCACTTCTGAAAACAAAATTAAAATCGACGTCGACGCCACAAAAACCAAAAATCTGCGAATTCTTGTTTATATGAACTGCTATGAACGAAGAAAGTTCGACCTGTTCAGCTGCGTTCAGCAGAAAAAACTAATTAGTTAACACTAAAGTCAGCGGCACACGATGCTTATTTTCCTGCTAGATTGCTAGTTGAATTAAAATCTTGCTACCGTTAGTACCGTTACCCCGGATCTACAATAGATGTTTTATGCCTTATGCCGTACGAAACTGACCAATTACAGTCGAATCCGAGAAGAATAAGCGACTGTGATTCGCCCATTTCTTATGGCTTAAGGCTTAAAACCCTATTGTA